CTTTCTGGTGTGCTTACTGGGTACACAAGGGCAGTGACAATATTCTCCTGGTATTTCATAGAGGTTTTGGGTCTGTCAGTGGATTTATTTTAAATCACCTAAGAATTATAAACAGCCAAATTGAAAAGATAAATTGAGACTTTTTTGTACCAGTGGTGGTTTCTTCTTGTTGCTGTAAGGATGTATTATCTGGTCCTCAAGATCAACTCCCCCCCCATGAACATATTGTACTCACGTACACATTGGCTGGACTGGGCCATTCCTTCTGTCAATTTTGCACAAAGGTGTAATTATGAATTGAAGAAAGAAAATACACATCTCTTTTGTCCCTCCACTTCCTTGCCAATACTTTCTCATTCCCCAAACACACCAACTCCCTTCTTTGTAGTCTTGTGCTTACCAGCCTTTGAGGGATAGCCCTTCCTATCATCAGATATCATGTTCTTCGCATAACTGATAAATAAATGGGCATAAGGTGGATGGGACCAATAAGAATGGACTTCATTTTTTTTGTCAGCCCCATATTAAGCATGAGACCCAAAAAGATCTTGAACTCCTCCACTGTTACCAGTTTCCATTCATAGAGACAGGCATAACTGGAAGTTGGGTTGTTGGCTATAAATTGTTGGACATAGAGGTTACACTGGTCCACAATTAAACGTAATAATTCATCAGTGAATACTAAATTTAAAAAATCAATGGGGGGAAAAATTTTCTGTGTTGGTCTGAACACCTGCCTGGGCGGTGAAAGGGGGAATATTAGCTGCTCCTGATTCAGGAGGAATCCATAGAGGGTTTGCAAGGGCATCTGGTAGACTGGCATTGGCGCTAACCCTTTGGGGCAGACATGACACCCCATTAGTACCTGGCTTTTCTTGAAAGGGATACTCCATTCCTTGTGGATGCCACTGTGCTACTAGTGGATGCCACCGCACTACTACTGTATGCCACTGCACTACTGGTGGTAACCTGCTCCTCGCCAGAATGCCTTCGTTTGGTGGGTACACTTTCCTCCTCCTGTGATTCTGTTACAGTCCCACTACTTAGCACTGGCTCAGAATCAGAATCAGAATTAGAATCCAACATAGAGAGCCCCCCGTTGCTCATCGTCGGTCAGACTTAGAATTTGGTATGCCTCCTCAGTGGTATTTAATTTTTTTAGACATAGTGGTGACTGTGGGCTCTGGTGACACAGTGTTGTGTTCGGGACACTGGGACAGATGTGGCTGCACTGATTGGTGCCGATGAGGCTGCACTGATGGGTGCTGATGATATTCACTAATGCACTGCACAGATGGGGCGGCACGAATGTGGCTGCACAGACGGGGCGGCTCTGGTCAGCTAGACTGATGTGATGATTGGTGATGCGGCTGCACTGATGGCTGCTGATGCAGCTCCACTGATGAGTGCTGATGCGGCTGCACTGATGGATGCTGATGAGGCTGTATTTATGGGCACTGATATGCAGAGATGGTATGGCACTGATGAACCTGCACTGATGGGTGTTGATGAGGCTGCACTGATGTGCATTAATGCACTGCACAGATGGGGCTGCACAGATGGTGCAGCACTAGTCAGCTACTCTGATGTGATAGTTGGTGATGCAGCTGCTTTGATCGGTGCTGATACAGCTCCACTGATGGGTGTAGATGCGGCTGCACTGATGGGTGCTGATGAGGCTGCACAGATGGATGCTGAAGAGGCTGCACTTATGGGCACTGATATGCACAGATGGTATGGCACTGATGAGCCTGCACTGATGGGTGTTGATGAGGCTCCACTGATGTGCACTAATGCACTGATGAGGCTGCACTGGTCAGCTACACTGATGTGATGGTTGGTGATGCTGCTGCACAGATGGGTGCTGATGAGGCTGCACTGATGGGTGTTGATGTGGCTGCACTGATGTGTACTAATGCACTACACAGATGAAGCTGCACAAATGGGGCTGCACAGATTGGGTGGCACTGGTCAGCTACACTGATGTGATGGTTGCTGATGCAGCTGCACTGATGGGTGCTCATGAGGCTACACAGATGGATGCTGACCAGGCGCACGTACAGTGAAGGAAATACGTATTTGATCCCCTGCTGATTTTGAATGTTTGCCCACTTACAAAGAAATGATCAGGCTAAAAATCAAATGGTAGGTGTATTGTAACACTGAGAGACAGAATAGCAACAAAAAATTCAAAAGAAATGCATGTCTAACAAATTATGCACGGATTTGCATGTTCATGAGGGAAATAAGTATTTGATCCCCTATCATTCAGCAGGATTTCTGGCTGCCAGGTGTCTTTCATACAGGTAACAAGCTGAGATTAGAAGCACTCTCTTAAAGGGAGTGCTGCTAATCTCATTTTGTTACCTGTATTAAAAGAAACCTGTCCACAGGAGCAATCAAACAATTAGATTCCAAACTCTCCACCATGGCAAAGACCAAAGAGCTGTCCAAGGAAATCAGGGACAAGATTGTAGACCTACACAAGGCTGGACTTGGCTACCAAACTATCGCCAAGCAGCTTGGTAAGAAGGTGACAACAGTTGGTGAAATCATTCGCAAATGGAAGAAATACAAAACAACTGTCAGTCTCCATAGGTCTGGTGCACCATGCAAGATCTCAACTCGTTCTGGGATGATTCCTCACTGTTCTTATGATCATTGACACTCCACAAGGTGAGAGGGTGGGCGTTGATGAGGCTCTACTGAAGAGGCAGCACTGATGGGGTGTTGATGCAGCTGCACTGATGGGTGTTGATGCAGCTGCACTGATGGGTGCTGATAAGGCTGCACTGATGGACACTGATATGCACAGATGGGGTGGCACTGATGAGCCTGCACTGATGGGTGTTGATGAGGCTGCACTGATGTGCACTAATGCACTGCACAGATGAGTGTGCACAGATGGGGCTGCACAGATTGGGCGGCACTGGTCAGCTACACTGATGTGATGGTTGGTGATGCGGCTGCACTGATGCGTGCTGATGCAGCTCTACTGATGGGTGCTGATGAGGCTGCACAGACAGGTAATGATGAGGCTGCACTTATGGGCACTGATATGCACAGATGGGGCAGCACTGATGGCCCTGCACTAATGAGTGTTGATGAGGCTGCACTGCACAGAAGAGGCTGCACAGATGGGGCTGCACAGATGTGGCGGCATTGGTCAGCTACCCTGATGTGATGGTTGGTGATGTGGCTGCACAGATGGGTGCTGATGTGGCTGCACTGATGGGTGCTAATGAGGCTGCACTGATGGGCACTGATCAGGCTGCACTTATGGGCACTGATATGCACTGATGAGGCTGCACAGATGGGGTGGCACTGGTCAGCTACACTGATGTGATGGTTGGCAGGGGTGGACTGACCATTTGGAAACTCGGGCACTGCCCGAGGGCCCGGGGTCAGTAGGGGGCCCCATAAGATGCCCCTGGTACCTTTTTCATAGGCTTTTTGAGTTTGAGCAAGGACACAGGGGCCCTATGATCCCCTATTGCCCGAGGGCCCCATGCGTTGTCAGTCCGCCCCTGATGGTTGGTAATGTGGCTGCACAGATGGCTTCCGATGCGACTGCACTGATCAGGCTGCACTTATGGGCACTGATATGCACTGATGAGGCAGCACAGATGGGGTGGCACAGATGGGGCAGCACTGGTCAGCTACACTGATGTGCACTGATGGGCATTGATGAGGCTCCCCTTAAGAGTCAGCACTGATAGGCGGCACTAATGGGCACTGATGAGACAGGACTTACAGGATTAGCTGCACTGATGTGCACTGATGGGTGCTGATGAGACTCCTCTGAAGAGGCAGTACTGATAAGAGGCACTGATGAGGCTGGACTGATCAGCTGCACTGACGTGCACTGATTAGGTGGCACTGATGGGTGTTGATAAGGTTCCAATGATGAGGCAGCACTGATAAGCAGCAGTGATGGACACTGTGGGGTTTATTTACTACAGCTGGAGAGTCTAAAATCAGACTCCCTTCTGCATAGAAACCAATCAGCTTCTAACCTCAGTTTGTTCAATGAAGCCTTGGCAATGAAACCTGGAAGCTGATTGGTTTCTATGCAGAAGTGAGTCTGATTTTGGACTCTCCAGCTTTAGTAAATAAACCCCTCTGTGACACTCATGGGCACTGTGTGACACTGATGGGCACTGTATAAAGCTGGTTGTCAGCAGGAAAACTCACTGCGAGTGGCACAGATCTCTCTCCTTCTCTCACACTTGTCTCTGTGTGACGCCCTCCCAGAACTTGACCACGCTAAGAAGAGGCTGATTGGGCAACTGAGTGGCAAATGAGGTTTAATGTTGATAAATGTAAGGTTATGCACTTGTGGGCTAAGAATATTCATGCACCATACATACTAGGGGGAGTACAACTGGGAGAATCAATGGTGGAGAAGGATCTGGGAGTTCTGGTAGATCACAAGCTTAACCACTTGCCTACTGGGCACTTATACCCCCTCCCTGCCCAGGCCAAGTTTCAGCTTTCAGTGCTGTCGCACTTTGAATGACAATTGCGCGATCATGCAACACTGTACCTATATTGAATTTTTATCATTTTTTTGAGACAGATAGAGCTTTCTTTTGGTGGTATTTAATCACCTCTGTGTTTTTTATTTTTTGCTAAACAAACCAAAAACAACTGAAAATTTTGAAAAAAATAGTTTTTTCTTAGTTTTTGTTTTAAAATTTTGTAAACAAGTGATTTTTCTCCTTCACTGATATGCGCTAATGAGGCTGCAGTGATGGGCACTGATAGGTGGCACTGATGGGCAATGATAGGTGGCACTGATGAATAGGAACTGGTAGGTGGCACTGATGGCCATTGACAGGCATCACTGATGGGCACTGAAAGGAAGAACTTATATATGGCACTGATAGGCAGCACTGATAGGCGGTACTGACTGGCACTGTTAGGTGGCACTGACAGACAGCACTGACAGGCAATGATAGGCGGCACTGATGCACAATGATAGTCGCCACTGACTGGTACTGATAGGCGGCACTGACTGGCACTGATAGGCGATACTTATAGGTGGCACTGACTGGCATTGATAGGTGGCACTGACTGGCACTGATGGGTGACACTGAAAGGCAGCTTAGATGGGCACTGATATGTTGCATTGATGTGCACTGGTAGGCACTGATATGTGGCATTGATGTGGCACTGATGGGCACTGGCAGGTGGCATTAATGGACACTGATAGGTGGCACTGCTGGGGCTACACTGATCATCAGGGCACACTGATCACCAGTGCCCTGATGATCAGTGTACATGTCCCCTCTGAGGAATGCTGATTACCGGCCTCCTCTCAAGCTGTCAGCGTGACAGCTCGTGAGCAGAGAAATGCCAATAAACGGCATTTCCCTATTTACATGCAATCAGCTGTGATTGGACACAGCTGTTCACATGACTGAGCCGAAATCTTCGTCTCTTTCCGTTGATTGGTGATCCGCTGTGTCTGAGGGACGCAGCGCACCGCTGATCACCACGCTGCGTGCTCCTGGAGCCACGCATGCGTGGTTAGAATGGGAGGACGTCATTGTGCCCGTCATTGCCTTATATGGCGGGCGGGAGTCGGTTAATAATGGCATGCAATGTCAAGCTGCAGTTTCCAAAGCGAGCAAAATCCTCTCGCATTAAAAGAGGTATAGACTGCAAACAGAGAAACATAATTTTTTTGTGTTTTTTTTGATTTTGTAAAATTCATTAGTAAGACCTCATCTGGAATACACTGTTCAGTTTTGGGTACCAGTTCGCAAAAAAAGTTATTGGGAACTTGAGAATGTGCGGAGAAAGGCAGCCAAACTGATAAGAGGCATGGAGGAGCTCAGCTATGAGCAAAGGTTAAAGAAACTGAAATTATTCTCTCTTGAGAAGAGGAGATTAACGGGGGATGCGATCAACATGTATAAATACATAAGTGGTCCATATAGTGAACTTGGTTTAGGCCCCTTTCACAATGGCAGACTGATAGGGTTAGCCTGTCCGTTTTTCAGGCAGACCCAATCGGACCATCCATTTCTCTCTATGGAGCAATGGATGTAAAAGGACATGTGTCTGTTAACACCAGGCTGCATCTGATCTGATCAGATCCACTGAAAACAGACAGATGGGGATCCGTTCACCATCTGTCTAGCGGATCAGAATGGATGACAGTTGGATTTAAATGGACAGGCGGTCCATTTACATCTGATTGTCCATTTAGTACTGAGAGGTCGAAATTGTGCCAAGAAAATATCCCCCACACCATTACACCACCAGCCCTAACTATTGATACAAGACAGGATGGATCCATGCTTTCAAATTCTGACCCTACTATCTGAATGTCGCAGCTGAAATTGAGTCCAACTTTAGTGTGAATTGTAGCCTCCGTTTCCTGTTCTTAGCTGACAGGAATGGTACCCGGCATGGTCTTCTGCTGCAGTAGCCCGTCTGCTTCAAGGTTCAACATGTTGTGCATTCAGAGATGGTATTCTGCATACCTTGGTTGTAACGTGTGGTTATATAAGTTACTGTTGCCTTTCTATTATCTCAAACAAGTCTGCCCATTCAATTGCCGCTCAGTGGATATTTTCTCTTTTTCAGACCATTAGAGATGGTTGTGCATGAAAATCACAGTAGATCAGCAGTTTTTTAAATACTCAGTCCAGCCCATCTGGCATCAACAACCATGCCACATTCAAAGTCATTTAACTCCCCTTTTTTCACCATTCTGATGCTTGGTTTGAACTTCAGCAAGTTGTCTTCACCACGTCTAGATGTCTAGATGCATTGACTTGCTGCCATGTGATTTGCTGATTATCAATTTGTGTTACCAAGCAATTAAACAGGTGTAAAAAAGAACAGACAAAGGCGCACTCTCATCGTGCATTACCGTGGTACACCACGTGTTTTAATGAATGAACAAATGGATGTATACTCACAAACTAACAAAATTAAAAGCAGTGTATAGGGTCCACAAAAAAGTCAAAAAGGTGCTGTGTCTAAATGCGGATAAGCTGATGAGTTTCGGGGGCTGAACCTCCTTCCTCAGAGCTAAAACAATTAAACAGGTGTACCTGATAAAGTTACCGATGAGTGTACAGTACAATATTATTTGATCTCCTCCAGATTTTGTAAGTTTGCCCACTTACAAAGAAATGAAGGGTCTATAATTTTTTTCATAGGTGTATTTTAAATGATAGACACAGACTATCAACCAAAAATCCAGAAAAAACACATAATACAAATGTTATAAATTGAGTTGCAGTCCAGTGAGTAAAATAAGTATTTGATCCTCAAGTAAAACATGACTTAGTACTTGATGAAGAAACTCATGCTGGCAAGCACAGAGCTAAAATGTTTCTTGTAGTTGGTTACCAGGTTTGCACACATCTCAGGAGGGATTTTGGTCCACTCTTCTTCAGAGAAACAGCCCCAAAGCATAATGTTTCCACCTCCATGCTTGATGTAGGGATGGTGTTCTTAGGGTCATAGTCAGCATTTTTCTTCTTCCAAACACGGCAAGTCGAGTTAATGCCAAAGAGCTCGATTTTGGTTTCATCTGACCACAGCACTTTCTCCCAATCCTTCTCTGAATCATTTAGATGCTCATTGGCAAACTTCAGATGGGCCTGTACATGTGGAAGATTTTATTCTATTGCCTTACCAATGGTTTCTTTGCTGACTGTGGTCCCAACTGCCTTGAGATCATTTACAAGCTCCTCTTGTGTAGTTCTGGGCTGATCCCTCACTTTTCTCATGATCATCCTTACCCCATGAAGCGAAATATTGCATGGTGCTCCAGACTGAGGGCAATTGATGGTTATTTTGTATCTCTCTCATTTGTGAACAATCACTCCAACAGTTGTCTCTTTCTCACCAAGCTTCTTGCTGATGGTCTTGTAGCCCATTCCAGCCCTGTGCAGATCTACACATCCCTGATGTCCTTTGACAGCTCTTTGGTCTTGCCCATGGTGGTGTCCAAGAAAGAGATTCTGTGGACAGGTGTCTTTTATACACATAATCACCTGTTGTTAGGAGCACCTTGTTAAATTGACAGGACTAATCTGTGTACCACATGAGCACATAGCCAATCTGTGGGAGCCAGAATTATTGTTGGTTGGTAGGGGATCAAAAACTTATTTTACTCAATGAACTGCAACTCAATTTATAACATTTGTATCATGTTTTTTTCTGGATTTTTTGTTGATATTCCGTATCTATCATTTAAAATACACCCATGATAACAATTATAGACCCTTCCTTTTTTTGTAAGTGGGCAAACTTATATAATCTTCAGAGGATCAAATAATTATTTTCTCCACTGTATGTAACATGATTGGTGACAAAACAGGTATATATAAAACAAAATGGTGATTCCATTTGTGTTTTCCTAGGACAGCTCTTTCATCTTCTACATATTGTTTTGTTTATGTTCTTATTTTCAAACTTAGCAGGTGGATTGGTTGTAAACAACCAAAACCATTTCTGTAACAACCTTTAGAACCGACGAGGATATTAACTGTGTAGGGACCCTACTCTAAGCAGTAGAGTCCCTAGCCTAGACTTATTGTTGGGCTGTAGTCAGCCTGAGCTTTGATTTGATAGTTCTGCTTTCATTAGGTTTTCCCTAAGCTCAGTTGTATTGTTAGCATCTGCCTGCTCTTGGGTGTCCCTAGCAATAGTGTGAGATGATACAATAAGTCTGATTTATGAATATATATGTCTTTCTTGCCAACTGCTAAGAGGTTTATTGCCAATGGTGTTAGCTGTTGAAGGGTATAAATATTTGTGGCAATCCTATGGAAGCTCTCTTGCTTCTGGGGATGTTGTAGGGTGAGAAGGTCGTGTGTTATAGGTTAGTGTCTCCCATCTCTGCTGCTTAAGGAGGATTTTCACTAGAGGAAAGGCCTGGGTCTGAGCCTAAGGAAGTTTGTTCTACCTGGACTTGAGCATCAGGGGTGATAACTTCACTGCTGAAGGGTGTCCTGGAAGGCTGAGCAGAAGCTAGTATGAGAGGATATTGCAGGGAGTTGTGTAGGCTTGTCCAGGAGATATGTGTCCTGCACTGAAACTGCAGTCTAAAGAGTACATAGGGCCAATTCTAGCTTAGAGGTCCTTTTTCTGTATTGACTACTTAGAGTCCAAAAGCTGTATTTTTGGTTGTTTTTGGATATGCGGTGCCTTAACTCCTCTCTCCCTGAGTATATTGTTCTACAAAAAACATTGTTTAAGTGATTTGCACCCAATTTCTTCCTTCTCACCAACACTCAAGAATTGTACTCTGAATTGAAAAGCAAGTGCACCAAACCATCTGGATGTCCTCCACCACTGCCTAGGGATAAGTGGTTGCTACAGCTGAATTTAGGCAACTATTTTTTATGTATCATTCTGCATATACTTGGAGTATTTATAACAATCTTCTGCTCAGCTCACCTCATATAAATTAATTTTGGGCAACAATGAATGGTAATCTGAGCCCTTTGTACTTGTAAGATAATAGGCTGCCCCTTCTGTTTACAGATCATGTCTAACTGCTATCACCTGGAATAATTAAGTAGAATATTAATTATAATTTATTAACATCAGCACATGGGAGTGAGAAATGTATGGAAAACAAGAAGAGAACTCTTTCCTCCCTGTGTGAAGTGGTCATATTGTTATGAACGGCACCTATTGTTTTGGACACCAATAAAAGCCATATAAAAGCAAAAATGATATAATAAAATGATAAGGCCCAGGCATGAAATGTAAATGCAACCAATGCATATCAGAATGCTGATTGGATTTGTTTTAGATGAGAAAAAAATTGTTAAAAGACACATGTAATTTTATCCAGTTGTCAGTTAAATGATAGCTGCAGAAAGGGAATAGCAGTATGGGCAAGAAATGTGAAGCAAAAAAAAAAAAAAAATACTGCCCTCTCCACACATCTTGTAAATGAAGAAAAGTAGAAGTTATGCTAGGGCGCCCTTAAAGATCCGGGGACACTTGTAACATGTGCACCCCTGTAATTACAACCAGACTGAGGAGTTTAACCATGAGCTGTAGTTTGTATCTGCTGCATGTCATTCCAGATCTGCCATGGAATAACTGTGATTTTGTTTGTAGGGAATTATTTCTGTGTGTTTATTCTTCCCTTTTTCCACTAGGTGGCAAGACTGTGCCAGGATCTGTGCTTTATCTGTCTAATACACATTGCTCTAATTGGAAAGGGAAGCTGCTATCAACAAGACAAATAAGAGCAATGATTCTGTATTCTGTGAATAAATGGCTTTTTATCCCCGCAGCAGAGAAAAACTTAGATTAGACTACTTAAGTTTATTTGTAAAAAAATATTTCTCATTGCGATGTCCTTAAGATTTACTAGTTTTAAATGGGCGTTTTTTTTACCCTTGAGGGACCCTTGCTTGTTTGTCGCAGTGGTACTATCGTTTCAGATTTTGTACCACAGTCATTTGTATGTAGAAACCTCCATGTTCATTTGTCACAGCTGGTTAGGCTTTTTGTTCAGCCTTTATACATGATACA